GGGGGCTGCGGGTCGGGAGTGAGGGGCACCGGCAGAGCTGGGGGGGGCAGGGCTGGGCTAGCGGGGGGCTGCGGGTCGGGAGTGAGGGGCACCGGCAGAGCTGGGGGGGGCAGGGCTGGGCTAGCGGGGGGCTGCGGGTCGGGAGTGAGGGGTACTGGCAGAGCAGGGGGGCACAGGGCCGGGCTGCAGGTCGGGAGTGACTGGTATTGTCTCCTCTCCCCAGGTGCTGCCTCCTGTGGCTGCCCCGCCCCCAGCCCTGGGGGGTGCGGTGCCCGGGGCAGAGCTGGCGGAGGTGCCAGAGCTCAGGCTGGCGGAGCTGGGGCTCGACTCCTACACGCCCGTGGGGCTGATCCAGAACATGCTGGAGTTCCTGCACGCCGACCTGGGGCTGCCCTGGTGGGGCGCCATTGTGGCCGGTGAGGGGCATGCTGGGATAGCGGGGCGCTGGGCGAGAGAGCTACCCACAATGCTTTCTCTCTCTCTCTCTCTTTCCCCCTTCCCCCCCAAAGTACAAGGACAGCCTGGGCAGTGCATTGTGGTTAACGCTATCTCCCCCCCGGACCTGGGGGAGGCCTGCCCGGGGTGTCTCGCCTGACACTCGCTGCCCAGTGGGTTGTGGGTGACGCTCTCTCCCTGGGCACGGGGGCAGCGCGCTGTGGGTGACGCTATCTCCCCGGGTACGGCGGCGGCGTGCTGCCCGGTGCGTTGTGGGTGACGCTCTTTCTCCCCAGGCACGGTGGTGGCGCGCTGTCTGGTGTTCCCACTCATCGTGAAGGGGCAGCGGGAAGCCGTCAAGCTGAACAACCACCTGCCCGAGATCACCCGGCTCACGCAGTGCATGCAGGACGCCAAGCGCTCCGGCAACCAGTTTGAATGTGAGGGCTGGGAGCGGAGCCAAGGGAGGGAGAGGGACCTGGGGTGGGTGGGGAGAAAAGGGGGATGCAGACAAGGGAGGTGAGTAGAATCTTGGGTGGGGTCAGCAAGAGTGGGAGGAGCCTGAGGGTTGAAGGGTGGGGTCTAGAGCCAGGGGCGGGGCTTGGGAGCTGAGTAGGTGATGCCTGGGGTCAAGGGGAGAAGCATAAGGCCTCAGAGATTGTGCAGACAGGGGGAGGGGCCTGGGTGCTGGCTGGGCGGAGCCTGGAGGCTTGAGGGGAGGGCTTTTGTGGAGGGCTGGGAAATCAGAGCCCAGCCCCTAACTCCCCCCTCCCCCCCAGACTCCAAGTCGTATTCGGAATTGAATCTGTACCAGAAGGCCCATGACGTCAATCCCATGCGGGGGTTCCTGGTGCCGCTGGTCCAGGTAAGGCCCCGCCCCCTGTCCAAGTCCCCGCCCCCAGCCCTGCCCCTCACTCCCGACCCACAGCCCCCTGCCAGCCCAGCCCTGCCGATGACCCTCACTCCCTACCTGCAGCCCCTGCCAGCCCAGGCCTGCCCCCCCAGCCCTGCTGATGCCCCCACTCCTGACCCGCAGCCCCCTGCTAGCCCAGCCCTGACCCCCCAGCCCTGCTGGTGCCCCTCACTCCCGACCCGCAGCCCCTGCTAGCCCACGCCTTCCCACGTGCCCCTCACTCCCGACCGCAGCCCCTGCCAGCCAAGCCAATGCCCCTTACTCCCGATTCGCAGCCCCCATCTCCCCATGGCTCTGACCCCCTTCTCTCCCCCCGCTCTAGGCCCCTATCTTTATCTCGTTTTTCATCGCCCTGCGAGAGATGGCCACCCTGCCCGTGCCCAGCATGCAGAGCGGCGGCCTGGCATGGTTCGTGGATCTGACAGCGGCTGACCCCCTCTACATCCTGCCCGTCGTCGTCACCAGCACCATGTGGCTTATCCTGGAGGTGAGCCCTGGGCACCGAGGGGAGGGTGATAGTGTAGAGCCAGGGGCTGGCAGTAAATGGGCGAAGGGCAGGACCGTGCTCATTACGCTGTAGCTCAGCCTGCTGCCCGAGAGAGGGATGAAAATAATATAGGGCCTAACCTACAATAAAGAAAGGTCAGTGGGGCTCTGTAAACCCCCTGGGAAGCGGGGGGGTGAAGGGTGGGGCTCTGCTCAGTCTGCTCTAGCGTCCCTGGCTGGCCGGCAGAGAAACGACAATCGCTCGCCTAGGAGCTGCAATATTATGGTAGAAAGGATAAATAGAGAGTCATTGGGCTGCTGTACCCAGCTGTCTAGCGCTACAGTAATAGTGTAGGGCCTACAGTAAACAAAGAGCCATTTGGCTGCTCTGGGCTGGGGTGCTACAATCCTACTGGAGGGCCTACAGTAAATGAGCATCAGTTGGGTTGGTTTTGGCGTTTGCTGGGGGTGTGTCTGGGGGCGGGGCCTGTCTCTAACCCTGCCCCTCTGTGTGTTCCCCCCCCACACCCCTGGCAGCTGGGGGTGGAGTCTGGGGTGGACAACCCCAACCTGAAGGTGATGAAGACGGTTTTCCGGGTGATGCCACTGGTGATCCTGCCGCTGACCATCAGCTTCCCCACGGTGAGAGCCTGGTGGGGGGGGGGGGGAGAGAAGGGAAGCCTGGGGGTGGGTAGCAGCCTTGGGGGGCCTGGCCCCGATCTCCCCCCCAGCACCCTCTTGACGCTGCCTCGTCTCCTCCAGGCCGTCTTCACCTACTGGCTGACGTCCAACCTGTTCTCCCTGGTGCAGGTCGGGCTCCTGCGGATCCCGGCCGTCCGCACCCGGCTCCGCATCCCCGACCGTGTCCAGCACGACCCGGCCCTGCTGCCCCCGAGCAAGGGCTTTGTCCAGAGCCTGCGGGCCGGTGAGTGACCCGCGGGGGGCGGGGGGGGGCTCGGTGCAGGCGGGGGGCTAACCCCTCCCTCCTGTCCCCCGCAGGCTGGAAGGACGCCCAGCTGGCCCAGCAGCTGCAGGAACGTGAGCGGCGGATCAAGAACCACCTGGACATGGCCGCAAAAAGGTCTGTGCCCCCCCCCAACCCCCAGGGCTGGGGGACTCCCCTGCGTGTTCAGCTCCCCCCGGGCCGCTGCCCCACAGGGGTGTCCCTCCCCCCCCCAGCCCATCTCACCCCTCGCCCCGTCTCTCCCCCCAGGACCCCTGCGCCAGACCTTCTCCCACAACCCCTTGCAGCAGAAGGAGGGCGGGGCTGGCTCCAGCCCCCGCCCGAAGAGGCCCTGGCAGGACACACTGGGCTGAGACCCGCCACCAGACCCCCAGGACCCTGGAACCGCCAGCAGGAGGCGCTCAACCCCCCAGCCGGACTCTGCTGCAGGGGGTGGGTCTGAGCCAATAAAGGACCCATCACCTGCCCACTGGTGCCATTGGACTCTGCTTGCGGGTTGGGCTGGAGACCCCTCTACTGCTGGGGGGCAGGGGAATGGGGTCTCATTCCCAGGGTGGGGGGCAGGAGAGAGCTAGGGGGCGTAGTGCACGGGGGTGGACGTCTCTGGGGGAGGGCCAGGGAGCAGAGAGACGACGCCCGGAGCCGGCTGTGACTGGAGTGATGCTGGTTTATTGGTAGCAGCTGCTTCTGGGGCAAGGGGGGGCCGGTGGTACCCTGACACCGGGGCCAAGGGGACCAATAAATAAAAGGGGAGGAGTGGGTCTGCGGGAGAGGGGAGGCGCCCCCTCCCCCCTGGCTCCGTCACTGGGATTTGGGGCGAGCATCATCAGGGTCCAGCTCCGTCACCACGGCCCGGCACAGCACCTGGATGTGGCGGGACACGCCAGCTGCAGAGAGAGAGTGGGATGGTTAGCGGGGGCTGCAGGGCAGGAGTGAGGGGGCACCAGCAGGGCTGGGGGGGCAGGGGCTGGGGGGCAGGAGTGAGGGGCACTGGCAGGGGGCTGCAGACAGGAGGCAGGGGGCACCACCAGGCAGGGGGGAGCACAGGGCTGGGCTAGCAAGGGCTGTGGGTCAGGAGTGAGGGGCACCGGCAGGACGGGGGGCAGGGCTGGGCTAGCAGGGGGCTGCGGGTCGGGAGTGAGGGGCACCGGCAGAGCTGGGGGTGAGGGCGTCCTGCCTCCCATAGATTGCAGTGGTGACTGGCGCCCCCTCCTGGCCAGGCCGGGTACTGCAGCACGCAGAGGGGAAGGGGGCTGGGAGAAGTGGGGTACGGGGGGCTCTGCACCCACCCAGGGGGAAGAGTGTGTTGGGGACCCTGGTCTGTGAGCACCTGTTGCTCCCCCATCCATGCAGGTCTCTCTCTCTCTCTGCCCCTCCCAGATCCCGGCACGGGGTCCAAGTCCCAGAAATCGGGGCCGGAGACGCCGCCCGAGAAGGCGCACGGGACGCTGGACGGGGCAGACGCCGGCAAGGAAAGCGGTGCAGGTACGGAGCTGCCCCCCCCCCCGCCCAGTTCCCCACCCAGCACTGGGGGTCCCTGCCCCTCCCCCAGCATGTTCTAGATGGCTCCCCCCGACCACGCGCGTCCAGAGGCCGGGGATGGGCAGCTCGTGGGGGTGGGGTGGGGGTTTCCCCTTGAGGGGGTGTGGTTAGGATCAGGCCCCAGATCGGGGATGGGTTGTGGGGAGTGACTCAGAACAGAACCCAGGTGTCCTGGCTCCTGCCCCCAACCACCAGCCCCCACACACCCCTCCCAGAGCCGGGCAGAGAACCCAGGAGTCCTGACTCCTTCCCCTACTGCTCTAACCCACCAGCCCCCACACACCCCTCCCAGAGCTGGGGAGAGAACCCAGGAGTCCTGACTCCTTCCCCTACTGCTCTAACCCACCAGCCTCCACCCCCCTCCCAGAGCTGGGGAGAGAACCCAGGCGTCCTGGCTCTCAGCCCTGTTCATGGTGGCAGCTGGCTGACTGGCTGGGCCCAGGGGGGTTTCTGATCCCTTCCTGTCTGTCAAAGCGGGTTAAGGAAGCTAATTGTCTCTGTGATGGGTCCCCCAGCCCTGGGTCCTTTACAGGCATCAGCATCCACCAGCCTCTGTTTGCCCGGACCAGAGCGACAAGCCATTAACCCCTTCACACCCAGCAAGGCGGGGGCGGGGGCTGGCTCGATAGCCGCACCCCGGATCCCAGAGGGGGAGCAACCTGGGCAGTGCCCCCTACAGGGGAAAGGCCCATATGCCATTTCCCCCCCCCCCCAGCTCTGCCGGTGCCCCTCACTCCCGACCCCTGCTAGCCCGGCCCTGGGCTCCTGGGCGGGGAGTGGAGTCTGTTGGGTTAGAGCAGGGGGGATGGGAGCCAGGACTCCTGGGTTCTCTCCCCGGCTCTGGGAGGGGAGCGGGGGCTGGTGGGTTAGAGCAGGGGGAGGCTGGAAGCCAGGACTCCTGGGTTCTCTCCCTTGAGCCCTTTCTCTCTCTCTCTCTCTCCCCCCACAGGCGCTGGGAACGCGACAGGCCCGGCGGGGGGTGCGAACGGGCCCCTGTCCCAATCCAACGTGCCCGTGGTGGCTGGGGCGGCGGGGGGCGCCGCCTTCGTGGCCCTGGTGGCGGCGGGCGTGACGGGGGCCGTGTGCTGGCGCCGGCGGCGGGCCAAGCAGAGCGACACTCACCTCCCGCCCCTCTCGCTCAGCAGCCTGACTAGCCCCAAGCGGGGCGGGGCCGGCGGGGGGGGGAACAACAACGGGTCGGAGCCCAGCGACATCATCATCCCGCTACGGACATCGGACGGGACTTTCTGCCCCCACTACGAGAAAGTGAGCGGGGATTATGGGCACCCTGTCTACATTGTTCAGGAGATGCCCCCCCAAAGCCCCGCCAACATCTACTACAAAGTGTGAGGGGGAAGGGGGGGCCGGGCCCACCCCGGCGCTGGCTATGGACTATTGCCTCTCCCCCCCGAATACGGACGCCCCCCCCCGGTGCTGACGGGGTTCACAAGGAGCCAGGACGGCGCCCCCCCAATGCGGACGGCCCCCCCCAGTGCTGACGGAGACGGATGCCCCCCACTCCCGATTCTTCCT